CCAAAGATGATTTTATTCCTTTGATGTTGCAGATTCATAACAGACCCTCTGAGAGATGCAGAGGGGATATGCCGAATACATCTGCTGTCTTCAGGCGTTTTTCTGGAGTGTTAGGAGCCAAAGGGACATGGAATTTAATGAGAGGGGAGGCCACATGACTGGGACACAGTGGCTGGGTTAACACTGAAGTGCAGAGGTGTAAATGTTGACCTACACCCACAGAATTTATACCAACATCCACTAACAAGCCCTTTTCTCCGGCTGGAGGAGGAAGTGGCTTCTCTACTCTGAGTCGCTGCATCCTGAGACGAAAGAGTCAAAGTAAAATGAGTTAAGATTTCTGAACTTGAGTCCAAGAGCAGCCTTTACTGATGATGTCAAGCATTTAACCTGCTAGAGTCGTGTGATGTTCAGACACCGGCATGTTCAGGGTAACCGTCTTCATACGTCAACATTACAGATGGCTCCTTCCTGTTTGTTTATATTTAGTAGAACTCCAGCAGGTCTCCAACAATTCTGTAGGCCCCTCAAATGTTCACTCATTTCATAAACCACCAAACCTTTTACACCCACAGGAGGTCTGTCCAGTAAAAACAAGGAAAGCACCGAAACCGAGCACCACTGAATGCCCCAGACCAGAGTCGTGCTTTGGTTCAGGTTCAGTACAACAGGCCAAAAATTTGTTTTTATCAGACATTTCCTTTGATCTAAAGTAGCCGGTCAGGCATTAGCATGCCTAGGCTCATCCCAATCGAGCCCAGGGAAGTTCATTTAGGCAAGGCAGCTTTATTTATAGAGCTCATTTCAAACACAGAGGCAATTCCATGTGCTGTGCAATGATCAGGACATATGAAAACACATAAAAGCACAAATTAAAACACACACAGATAGAATTACAGTTTAGAGTTAAAGGAGAAGAGAAGTTACATCACAGATTACAGATTACAGCGGAGACGACGCAGCATAAGAAACAAAGGCTGATGAGCACATGAGGGGTTTTAGTTGTGTTTTAAACAACTCTAGGGTTGGGGCAGATGTGAGGTCATGGGGCAGCTGATTCCATATGTGAGCAGCATAGTAACTCAATGCATCTCCACCATGTTTGGTTCTGACCCGAGGTTCTACCAGCTGATTGTTTCCAAGGGACCTCAGAGCCCTATTGGGCGTACGTACAGGAATGAGATCGGACATGTATTTTGGTCCCATGCCATTGAGTGATTTATAAACTAGTAGGAGCTCTTTGAAGTCTATTCTGTATATGAACGGCTAATCTAATGTTTGCGATTTTTTCATTAATGAAGGATGCAACTTCATCACATCTGGTCTGAGATATGGAGTCCGGGGCTAACTGTGCTGGGAGGCTAGTTAGCCTCTCGACAGTAGCAAACAGAACATGGGAACTGTTAATATTATCATTGATGACTTTTGAGGAAAATGCTTCTCTCGCCTTTTTTATCTCCTCGTTTTAAGTACACAGCTGCATTCTGAGGTTCTGGTGGTGAACTGGTCGATTACTTGAGCGCTCTACTTTTCTATAGTCTCGTTTTTGATTATTAACAGATGCAGTTTAATTTATTTAAAGCTGCTCTTTAACTTTTACACATGAACACTCTGAAGTAACGTCCAAACGCACGATGCAGGTGTAAATCTCTACCAATCAGACTCTGAGACATAAAACTTTATCGATATAAAAGATGTAAAACTTAAACTCTTGAACCAGATAAAATGTTGCTCATTGATGACTTATTGCTGATTGTGCTCAGCACAGCATCGACCGTGTCCCGGCTCCTAAAGCCTCTGATTGTTTCTAGCTGTTTCTGACGGACCAGCCAGTGAAGATGCCCTGGGACTAACCTTTTCCCTGGGATACCCGACCAGGGGCGGACTCCTGCAGAATCCCTAACGTGCCAGGGAGCTGCAGCACTAAACCTGTTTAAATGAAAACTCTGGGAGCAGCAGCTGTGTGTGACGCTGTAGTTTCTTTCCTTCTTAAGCTATTTGTGTCATTTACATTTTTTATATTCACTCGATTTAATAACTTCAATCGTTTATGTTCTGAGTGTGGTTTAGTTGAGCTGACAAACTAGAAAACTCTGGGATTTCTGTGAAGTTGTGGTCTTAAGGTGTGTAAATGTTTCTGTCTGTGCAACTCTTTGTAAGAGTGTGCGGTGCAGCCATTAAGCTACCTGACTCTTGATATGTGTGGATAGGTAATTTAGGACAGCAGGTGGGCAGAGAGATAAGTCTTGTCTCACTAATAAATCCCTCGGCACTGAAGTGAATTCAATTTGCAGCGAGCAGAAAGACAGTGGAGGTGCCAGTCAATTGACCACCAGTCAGAATTATCTGATACCTGCCGTAAAAAGCAGTGATTTGCCAGTAAAATGCCCGACGGCGATAATAAATGAACACGGCGTGACTTTAAGCTTTATGATGTATCAGACAGTCGGCTAAGATGACGCCCGCATAACGAGAATCTGTTGTATACTTTCTCAGATATTTAAAGGAAAAATAAAACGTATGATGGTGTAAATACGGCAGAATCGGATTATCGCTGGGGATAGTTTGCGCTGAACGATGTTATAACAGTCGGCGAGGTGTAACTGAACAGCAGAGCCGTGTTTTACAGCCACGGGCCGCGGCTATAATTAAACACTCCCATCCGGACTAATGGAAGGAGAATTTCTGGATGTCAGACGGCTAATTGCTGCACTCAGTCTCTCATTTTCACACATACACACTCTCTCCTTTTGTCTTTTCTAATCTAATCTGGCTCAGCAGCTAACTCTCACTTTGAGCTGGTTACCTCCACCTCGCACGCCTCCTCCAGTAAACGATGTCCTGGCTTTAATGAGAAGCTCCTCATTATTGCTCCTCGTTTCTTTGCTCTCAGCCCCCAGACCTGTTCTGCCGCTGTTGGACCTTCAGACTTTCTGCCGCTTTAAGGACAAGCAGCGAAGTTCATTGGGTTTATTTATCTGGACTCTGGGATAGAAACTGTTCGTGGGTCAATTAGGTTTTATTTGTTGTTTTTTCTCACTCTCCAAGACACAAAAACGATAATGTGTTAATTATCAACCCCAAAAAGGAATTAACCGTAGATAATAAGCCCTCATCAGATCACTTCTGACCCATCAGGATTAATGGTAAATGGCCTGTATTTGATATAGCGTCTTCTAGAGTCCTGGAACCCCCCAAGGTGCTTTACAACACACTCAGTCATTCATCCATTCACACACACATTCACACACTGGTGGGGATGAGCTACGATGTAGCCACAGCTGCCCTGGGGCGCACTGACAGAGGCGAGGCTGCCGAGCACTGGCGCCACCGATCCCTCCGACCACCACCAGCAGGCAACGTGGGTTAAGTGTCTTGCCCAAGGACACAACGACAGCGACGGACTGAGCGGGGCTCAAACCTGCAACCTTCCGATTACGGGGCGAGCACTTAACTCCTGTGCCACCGTCGCAGGATTAGGACCTTCATCTGAAACCTGTTCTATATATTTATACGGTTCTCCGTGGTTTTACACCGTGTGACTCGGCCATTTTTAACATTTCTAACCAAAGTGTTTACTTCCTGTTGAAAATTTGACTCTAGTTATTAGCAACGTGATCCCAACTAGTAGCAGCAAACGACAAATATGAAGGTGCTATTATACTAATGGGTGGAAAAAATAGTCTCACCAGAAAATTTTCTCCAATTCTGAAATCTCTCCACTGGTTGCCCGTGCAGTTCAGGATAAATTTCAAGATTATGCTTCTGACTTACAAATCCTTGAACCATCAAGCTCCTCCATATCTGTGTGAACTTGTCCATTACTACAACCCGCCGCCTGCTCTCAGGTCCGAAGATAAGCTCCTCCTAGCTGTTCTGAATGCACGTTTAAAAAGCCGTGGAGAAAGGGCTTTCTCTGTCTGTGCACCCAAGCTGTGGAACGCATTACCACTGCTAGTGAGGCTAGCACCAACAGCTAGCATTTTTAAATCACGCCTGAAAACTCACTACTTCAACCTAGCGTATACCACATAATTATGACCCTCAGTCACATCTGCACTGTTAAAAAATGGAATTCACAATATCAACTTCCGCATTATTCTGGTTCATTTTTTAAATGTTTTTCTAATTTTTTATTCTCCCTGTGTTTTATTGATTTCTACCTTTTAGTTCTGGGAATTTTGTTGTATTTCCTTTTTATCTTTTATCTGTGTTTGACATGATTGTATAATTTTTTGCTGGTTTAAGTAACTAACATTTTTAGTGTACAGCGCCTTGTTTGGTTGAAATGTCTTATTGAATGCACTTTATAAATAAAATTGGATTGGATTGGATTGGAAAATGACTTTTTTAGACATTGAATTTATGACATTGGATTTTTATTCAACCCTAAATTTGAACCCTAACTCCTTATTTGATTTATTGTGATAGCTCGATGTGGAGGAGCAGCGGGTCTACTCCGAGCCCCTCCTGGATGACCGAACTTCTTACCCTATCTCTAAGGGAGAGCCCAGCCACTCTTCAGAGAAAACTCATTTTGGCTGCTTGTGTCCGCGATCTCGTTGTTGCGGTCACTACCCAAAGCTCGTGACCATAGGTGAGGGTAGGAACGTAGATCGACCGGTAAATCAAGAGCTTCACGTTCCGTCTCAGCTCGACAGATTGGTACAACGTCTGCATCTCTGCAGACGCAGCGCCAAGGCAGCCAACATTTTCACATTACTTTCGCTTTACATTTACTTGGAAACAAGTGTTATTTCAAGATAAACTTACTTTTTTATAGTGGAAACTAAAAGCCAGTCATTTGGAAATCCCAGCGACGTTAGAAACCGAGAAACCAGCCATTGTGACGCATTAATTTATCCCTTTTTTTAAGCTAAGTCGTGAATTTCTGCGTTTGACTTAACGTGACATTTTTGATTTTGTTGCATTCTAACGTGTCACCTTAAGGTGTCACTAAAACAGTATTTCTGTAATCAAACTATTTTTCTGTCTTCCAGGCACGATGGCACGGTGGTGGGCGTGGCAGTTTGTAGTGATCACCGTGGCAACCGTTTACCTCAGCCCATCTCAGTGTAATAACGAAGAGTTCTCCTCCGACACTCTGATCAACAACGTGGTGTCCGACCCTCGGACTGGCCGGCTGTACATCGGTGCTGTCAACCGCCTCTACCAGCTGAACTCTGACCTTGCGGTCGAGTCTCGATTCGAGACGGGCCCCAAGAAGGACCACCGACTGTGCACGCCGCCCGTTACTGACGCATGTGAGGAGGCTGTGGAAACAGCCAACCACAACAAGCTGCTGTTGGTTCACCCCACCAAAAACCAGCTGGTGGTCTGCGGCAGCGTCTTCAGAGGCATCTGCTCGCTGAGGAACCTGAGCAACGTGGAGGATCAGATCTACTTCAGCGACACCAACGGGGAGAAGTCGTACGTGGCGAGCGCTGAGGAGAGTGTCTCTGTGGTGGGAGTGATGTCATCCTATTCTACACGAGAATCAAAGAAACTCCCTGTGTTCCTGGTGAGGATGAACACACACACACACACACACACACACACACACACACACACACACACACACACACACACACACACACACACACACAAAGCTCATCCTGCCTCCTAATATTTCCTGAGGTAAATAAAATCTCCACCATCTGTGAGATCGTGTCAGCAAACAGAGTCCAGCTGCAGTTTGTTGTGAACAAACATTCTGTTTGCAGTCATGAAGGGAAATGAGCACTGTGTCGGATACCCTGAAATGTTTTTCATTTTATTTCTGCAGCGTCAGAAAATTGCTCTTTATAAATAGGTTTATGTTGTTGTGTTTCCCACAAGGCTGCAGTTTCTATTTAATTCAGAACATTCATGTCTCATCAAATCAGGAAATTCAGCCCTGGAGTGATCGTGCTCTGCAGGAAAGGATCGTGACTCCTAAAGGTTTACAGCAGAAATACCTGATAATTAAAGGGATGTTGGATAGAAATCTTCTTTAAATTAATCAACAAGATATTTATTTTAAACGAGTTCTCGAACCGCTCCGTTTTTATGTGACTGAATGTGGCTCATGGGGCATTTTCTTTCGTTAAACAGAGAAGGGATCCTAACCCCAAACCCAAACAAGGCGAGAAAGGATCCTTCTTTGGTCGTTTAGTAGGGGTGCACTGATTGCAGTCTTTGGCCGATCACCAGTCTTGAAAGAAACCTGACTTGCCGATAGGGAGCCTTAGGTCTCCTCCCCTTCCGGTCGGCTCACGGGTCCCCGGATGAACGATAAAATGAATGCAAGTCAACGGGGGTAAAACGCCACTTTCTAACCCGCTTTGCCTTACACCCTGGATCACACATGTGTTGTACTGCAATTTAAATGAAAAGTAATGATGGGTGTTTTGACCACGCCAGTCACATACTTTGAGATTATCAGTTTGTAAAAGTTCGTAATTAGCATGACTACACACTAGAAATCGGCACGTCGCATATATGATGTCACCACATATTCTCCTCTCCTCTAGCATAGCTGCTACTTACCACATGACCAGATTTATGGTGGTTCTTTCCTCCTGTGGGAAGTTTTCTGAACTTCCAGCCCTTTTCCCTCAGCGTTCTCCGTGTCTGGTTCGATGACGTCACTTTCGCGAAGCGCATTTGTAGTCCTGGACTTATTTTCACACAAAACCTAAAAATACATTTCCTTCCGTTCGAAAATAAGCTCGTTCTTTGTATCAAAATGTGTATTTAAAATTCACGGACATCATATGTGAAATCCATGGAACAAAACAAGCGGAGTTAGAAAAGAGCATTTTTAGCCCCGTTGACTTGCATTAATTTTTCTGTTCTTCCGGGGACCCGTGGTGCGGAAGTAGACTGGGATGATTTAGGCTTAGGGTTAGCTCCCTTTCCCCAGCGCTAGCTCTGAAGTCGCGTGGCTCTGATGCTCTTTAATTATTCAGAATTTTAAGCATTTAATTCCACTTAAACAGAAAAGTTACAAAATAATTCCCTCTCAGAGTTATGAATGTAAACTAGATCTATTTAATCTAAAATGTATTTTGAACCAGGCTATAAACATGTTTATTTCTGCTGTGAAATTGGCGTTTTTAACATTAGTCAATGAGGATTTGCTCACAGCCCCTAGTGGATGAGGGTGGAACTGCAATTGTCACTTCCATGTTGGCTTCAATCTCACCCCAGAATTATGGGAGCTTATGGGGGTTTAAATAAACCGTGTTTTTCTTTCTGTAAATCTGCTCTGAAAGCTGCGACTACTTAAGTCTCATTTCAGCTACTTCTTGTCCTCTGACAGCCAGTGTGGCTCATTTCTTTATAACTTACAGTTCTGTCACAAAGCTGCCCAGAACGTCCCAAATGCCCCGGAACATTCTGTGACTTAAATTAGAATAAAGGCTGCTTCCCAGCTTTGGAGGTTGAAGAGACTTGTGTGTTAAAGCTGTCATAACTCTGATTTAATTCACCATAGACACGTGAAAAACTAAAGTGTCCATCAAACCACCAGGAAGCTTGGGTTTAACTATAGTGTTGGTGACACTTATTGTTTTTGCTCAGCAGCTTTTTGTTTGAGCCTTATAGTTCAGTCTCCGCCTACAGACTGCAGCAGCTGGGTTCTCCCATCGACACACACACACACACACACACACACACACACACACACACACACACACACACACACACACACACACACACACACACACACATATATATATATATATATACGGACAATGGGTTTCCATAGGCTCCAATAACACGTTTTTGAGGAAAAATGGGAGGTGGCCACCACCGCCATTTTGACCGTGTCACAGGTTCCGTCAAGCCCAGACAATTCCACAAAAGGGAAGAGAGGTGGAGCTGAGGGTGGGGCTGTACGGCTGGGATCAACTGACGACACCAGGTCGAACCAGCTACAAGCTAACACAAAGCTAACGCGGAGATGGGAGCTAAGCTAATGGAGGTAGCTACCTAGCTACAACCGGAGCTAACTCTGTGGAACACCAGTGACCTGAAGCACACACGGAGTTTGTGTGGAGGTTTGCGGCGCTTTTTCATGAAAACTATCTTTCTGTGAATAAAAAACTATTAAATCGGTAAGTTTGTTATTTCCTTAATGAAAATATGTTTTGCTTTATAAGCTCAGCTAGTGCAAAAGTGTCAGTGACCTAAAATACATAATAAATACTGTATAATTTTACTTACTGAAAAAAATGAAGTGGAGACTCCTTGGACGCTCTATTAGTGCAATTAATGCCACAGCAATTAATTTTGTCCAACAATTGCACAAATAATATCCAAAAAAGAATACACAAACACTACAACTACTGGTTTAAGTTCAGAGACAAAAAATCGCTGAACAATTTTCAGGCGAGACCGAGGCTCAGACTGAGGTTACTGAGGCCTTTCCCCGGAGCTAGCTCTGTGGTCACGCGGGTCTGATGCTCATAAATTATTCAGAATTTTAGGCTTTTAATACACTTAAACAGAAGAGTGACAAAAAATTCTCCCCTCTCAGAGTTGTCATGAGTGTAAACTAGATCTATTAAACCAAAAACATGTGTTGGTACCAGGCTGTAAACATGTTTATTTCTGCTGTGAAATTGGTATTTTTAACATGGGAGTCAATGAGGATTAGCTCCCTTCTGACTCCAGCCCCTAGTGGATGAGGGTGGAACTGCAATTTATTTCACTTACGCATTTCCCTCAATTTCAGACCCACATTGTGGGGGCTTGGGTTCTCCCCACAAAGCGGGAAAATCCAGCTCTCTGATTGGCTACGGCTGTCTCCAAGCTTCTGCTGCATTTCTCTGTGAGAAATATTGCCACAGCTGGCAGACCCCATCAAAGTTTCTTTAGGACCTCTCTAGTTTCTGAGTTGAAGTGTTTTAAAGACAGCCAGAGGATAAAAGGGTGTTTATTTTAGCTCATGGCTGTTTATCATGTTCTGGTTGATTTTGAGGGTTTAAGAAAGGATCCCACAGTAAAATATGTGCTTTGAGCAGCTCTTTTACATCGGAGATTAGATGTGTGCAGTGCAACCAGCTGATTCATTACATTTTTTTATTGTTTGTTTCAGGTTGGCAAGGGATACGGCAGCCATGACAGTACTAAGCTGATTGCCACACGAATCCTGGAGGACTATAGCGAATGGGTGTATTTTGACAGCATCGTGGAGGCGTCCGCCGTCCAGGCAAACCCTTTTGTGCTGCGCTACCTGCACGATTTCCGCTTTGCCTTTAAAGAGGGCGGCTTTGTCTACTTCCTGTTTTCTCGGACACTCGGGGTTCAGGACAACAAGAACTTCACCTTCATCTCCAGGCTGTGTGAGAAGGACCAGAATTATTACTCGTACACTGAGCTGCAGCTCAACTGCAGTGCCTCCAACAAGTACAACAAAGCTCAGGTACAAAAGCATTCCTGCTTTAGTCCAAACTCCAGGATGAGTTTGGAGGTAAATCTGAGAATTTCTCTGTCCTGATGAGAGAAAATATTTTTGTCTCCTTTGTGTCTCAGGCTGCTTTTGTTGGAACTCCAGGTGACGTTTTGGCACAAAATTTGACTGGCCCAGACAAATATGGAACAGTTTCAGCATCAGACAAAGTGCTGTTTGTTACCTTCTCTTCTGATGTGGAAACTTCGTCGGCCATGTGTACGTATCGTCTGCTTCAGCAGCAGCAGGTTTCTGTTCTGGAACTAGCAGCAGCTGAATAAATGTTTTCTTTTGGTATCTTGCTGTTGAGATTCTCTCGTGTCGCATGATTTTTAATCAGAGGAAGGAATCGAAGAGCATTCTTAGCCTTGAACCACAGCTTTAATGAAAAATTAAGAACATTTCCAGCGCTGACGTCGTTGGAGCCTAAAATGTTCCTAAGCCCTCTATTATTTTGGGGGGATTTTTTTTAAATTGGCGCAGATGTTACACACTAAACACACAACGGCACCCCCAAGGGTTGGCCTGGGGGGGCCATGGCCACCCCTAGAAATTTGCCCCCCCCCCCCCAAGGAAAAGCAAGTGTTGATAAATCATATTAATGTTCAGTCAAACCATAAATCGATCTGGTTTATTCATGACATAATTGTAAAACAAAAAAAATACAATGATTGCATAAAGAAATACGTTTCTGCCTTTAACCATTTTAAAAAAGTTTTTATCTCCATAGATTTTTGTGAACACAGAAACAGGTAAATTAACCTAAAAAGATATATTTTAAAATAAAATTTGAAGTAACTGATATGACGAAGACCTGTTATGATTAATTATATAAATGGAGACCGTGTTCCCTCGCCCGGACGTGGGTCACCAGGGCCCCCTTCTGGAGCCAGGCCTGGAGGTGGGGCACGTTGGCGAGCGCCTGGTGGCCGGGCTTTCACCCATGGAGCCCGGCCGGGCACAGCCCGAAGAGATGATCTTTTCCCAATGGAAGATAGTGCAAAGCAAACGTTTAAGAAGATAAAAACAGGCACTAACAGACACTCAAGGCCCTTCGGTGCAGATTCAAGGCATTGGTGATGCATCTGCAGTGATGCGGGCGTTGTACCGGTCTGTCGTGGTGAATAGAGAGCTGAGCCAGAAGGCGAAGCTCCTCTGATATTATTGAGAGGAGAACCTCTCACACCTGTGGTGATCTGTTGCTAAATACGCGAGTGTGTGATGAGTGTTGGACCCAGGGAGGTGCGGCGGTTCAGTGAGACCAACAACTAGATGGTCCGATGGTTGCTTTTAGTTCGAAACTTGTTATTGGTGGAGGTTTTTAGACAAATGTGAGAGAAGCACTTCATTGTTTGTTTTTATTTTATCTCCATAATATATTTATAGTCATTCATTTGCCTATCACCTATATTTAGGTGTCAAAAAGCTAAAGAAGGGGGATGAACTATTCATTCTCTGATCTGAGAGCATGCCTCTAGCATGAAGGATATTTGTGTTTTTCTTTTGGAAAAATAAAAATAAACTGATTTGTTCTGTCTGTAGGTATGTTCCCTCTGAAGTCCATCGATGATCGAATGAGGAAGATACTGGACGCCTGCTACAACCAAGAAGGATTCATCGACCAGAATCTTGCTGCCTATTCACCATATTCATCCAAGTCGGGGAACCTGTGCAGCAGCAGCAACAACAACAACAACAATAAAAAAGTAATAAAACGTCATAAACTTAAAGCTCTAGCTATATCCTGATGTGTTTGATTACATTTCCGCTCTTTAACCAGATAAGAGTGGAGGAGTTTCCTTGTGGAGCAGAATTCCTGCTTTCACCGTTAGCCAGCAAGCCTGCATTCGCTTTAACATCTGAGCCGTCATTGGTCCGCAAGGGTCACATGACTGCCGTGGCCGTGTCTGTGGAGATGGAGCATGCTGTGGCGTTCCTGGGCAATGCCAACGGAGAGGTAACGGACCCTTCTCTCACCTCTGCTCGTTTTGCTCTGTGACGAGTTTAGGAAAACATGAGTAAAACTTCCTGTCGTGTGCATTTCAGCGTCAGTTCAAACCATTTTTAATGTTCTTGCTATTCTTACTAATGGAAAGCACATTGAATTTCCTCTGTGTGAAATGTGCTTTATTAATAAAGCGGCCTTGCCTTATTAGCAGAGATAAAACATCTATGTTGCAGAGCAAACAAAGTCAATGGTAGAGTCGTGTTGCTGTTGGCCAATGAGAGGAGAGATGTCCACATATCAGGAATAAGATCCTGTCATCTGAAGCTACTCCATGCTGAAACAGTCGCTACTGGGCTTTGTTTCCCCAGAATATGGCTCACAAGGCCTCCATTCCTGATAGAGACCACTGCACACTTATTGATTAAACTGGCTTACCTGGATTTGTTAACTCATTCGCTGCCAGCGTTTCTCACCGTTTTTACTGTTTTTTTCAAGAGACACAGAACATTGCGCGCTACGATGATGTCGATGCCAAAACAAAGAGGAGACTCACCTCTTACATCAGGAAGAATCCACGCGTTTCAAGCGTTATCCGTTCTTTCATAATCCGTTGTTGAATTGTGATCAGCAGAAGCTTTTCCAGTTCTCACCTCACTTTTTTTACAGCAGTGGCCCAAAACGATCTAACACGTGGATGTTCTGCTTCCTGATCACGTGATGTGCGACGTACGCGGATGAAGATCGGCTTCAGAGCTAAGATGTTTGTTCTCACGGTGCGGGGGCTCGTCCGACGCCCACACAGTAAAAAATGCAAATGAGTGAACGGTTGGATCTAAAATGACGACTTTAGTCGTCAATGGCAGCGAATGAGTTAATCTGAAGTCTGAGTTGAGGGTTTGAATCCCAGTTAACAGACTATGTTCCTGCAGGTGCTGAAGGTCCACCTGTCTGCTCATCCTGAGATGTACGGCCGCGTGCCGAGCGAAGTCACCGGAGAGAAGGTCAACAAGAACCTGCTGTTTGATTCCAGCCTCCAACATCTGTACATTACCACCGAGAAGAAGGTCTCTCTCTCACACACGCGCACACACACACACACACACACACATACCCTTATTGATCATTCTTTTTACTAAATCCATTTCTCTCTTTACTAAATCCATTTCTCTCCACCTCCATCCATCACACACCTCCACGTCTCTGCGTACGGTCCAGGAGGTCGGCCATGTTGTTTGCTTACTTGTGTTTTTGTTTCATCCATCAGGCTGCTGACTTAACGAGCCTTTCATTTGTTCTCTGTGTTTTATTTGATAATTTATTCGTCGGGCGAACTAACACCAACACATCCGTTACCACACACAAGTCACTCATTGATTCACTCGCTCCCCTCCTCTTGTTTTCTGCTCTCCGTTTTATCATCATCCATCTTTCTTTCCTTTGTCCTTTCATCTTTGGGTTGCCATCGCTCCCCACAGCCACGCAGAGGTGAAATAGACATTATTGATTTAGAAATGAATTAATTACAAAGCACTTCAAGAGAGCAATTTGCTTTGATCAAGTCAAGTGACGACGCTGCAGCTCGTTCCATCTGCTAATTTAAATTTATTAAACCAAGCTCGTCTTGTCAGAGAGGAGAATTATTTCCACGACTAGGTGGAAGATGTTCCTCCTTCAGAACTATCAAGCGAGCTCTGCCAGGTTATCTGATGACATCATGTGTGGTTTTAGAAAGAAGTGCATGAGATTAAAACAGATTAACAGTAGAGTTTACCTTTTGTTAGTTTTATTTATCAGGATTTAACGTTTAGGACTCGGAGGAGCTGTCAGCTGCGAGAGCAAACACGTGTTTTACTGCTAATTATATAAATAAATGACAGCAGAAGGGCTGTAATCCAAAACTCCTCTCAGACAGGAATATCCTGGAAAAGAAATTCGGAAATTAATCTGTAGAGCAAAAAATCTCAAATGACTGGGAAATCCATGACACACTGTTGTTTTGTGATTTTGGCTTTTCGTCACTTATCAGTTTTTAAATGTATTTTTATTTCAATAGTTTTGAAGTGAAAACTTATTAAAAGCTTTAAATTTTTTTCTATTTCTCTGTTTTTATTTTACTTCTTTTTTATAGTGAGAATAAACTATTTCTAGATTTTAAATGAATCCCATTTAACATCAGGACATTTTATTTTTGTCTAACTGCATCATAACTCCTCTGTCCTTCAGTTATGTTTGACTAGAAAACCAACAGTTATCTTTAATCTCATATCCATGAAGCCACATTCGGAGCAGCTAATAGTTTATTACGTTTTATTCATGGTTGGGGTGGCTAACGGCTCATTCAGCTCACCCGAACGCTGAGAAATGGTTGTTTACACTAAAGACCACCATCTAAAGGACAACTTCTGTTACAGTTGTTACTTCTGTAGGTTTAAAAAGTGCCTCCTCTGGTGGATTCTGGGAGGTGACAACCTCCTCAGCTGTCTGATCGTTTATTTCCTGGGAAGATTCTACTTGTACCTTCACAATAAAAGCCTTTTATATGCTCTTAGATCACGAAGGTTCCAGTCCAAACCTGCCACCTGAAGACAGACTGCCAATCCTGCGTCTCCATGAAGGATCCGTACTGTGGCTGGTGCGTCCTGGAGGGAAGGTGAGTCATTTCCACATAAACAAAAGTTTTTGCCTCCATGTTTTTTTGTCTATTCCAGAATTCCAAACATAATCATCTTATTGCCCTGTTTAACCAAACTCATTAACTCCGACCATCTGTTTGGATCACAGGTGTACCAGGAAGCAGGACTGTAGCAGGTCGGAGGAGAATAACACCTGGCTGTGGTCGCCCAATCAGGCGTGCGTTCAGATCGAAGCCTTCAGGCCGGCAAACCTCAGCTGCAGGAAGACACAGCAGGTGGGCGAGAGCTGTGACTCAGGATGTGCAGGAGCATGAATGTGTGACTGAGGACTGGAATCCCTCTGAGCAGCGCTAAACTCGACTAACCCGAGTCCGTCTCAGCTGCGTTTTAACTTCCGTGGTTCCGGTTCTGAGCACAGGAACCATCACCAATTGAAGGCAGTGTAAAGGGTTAATTTACATTTATTTAATGAGCCATAAGACATAAATCCATAGTAAATATGAAATCAATCTTATGGATCTTTGGGTACTTTTAACCAGAAGATTGGAACTTTTTATTGCAGGGATTATGTAACACTTCATATTAACTGAGAGACAAGAGAAGAGAAAGTCACCTTTAAAACGTTTAAGAAGATTTATTTCTAAACAATTTTAAACAAGGCTAACTCTAAACTCTAAGTGAATGGATGGATCTTGGTGTGAATGAGACGTGAGATGAATGGTGTATGTGTGAGTGATGTTGTCATCAGAACTCTCGTATCCGGAGAAGAAAAGAAAAAAGAAAATATCATTTCTATAGCGCCTCTCAAGATAAAAATCACGAGGCGCTTCATCATCATTCAGAAGCAAGTCTGAATGATTTAGTGATGTTTTGCTCTTAAGCTATGATCGGAGTTTCATAAACACGAGATGCCATGTTGTCGCTCCACACATACCCTTCAGATGAGACCTCCGTACAGATCCAGACTGCCAGGTCGTCAGACCCCCCTTCGGTACTGGAGCCGATGAAACAGCGTCTTCAGTACGACAGACTAGTCTTTGGATTGTCTCCAGGTAAAAAGCGACAGTTGGTTGACAGCGTCAGATGGACCCGGAGGGTCAGTGAGTTCAGCTTTTATTCTGAAAGGAACCGTTGCTTGGTTAGTAAAATGCAACAGATTTTATCCAGCTTGTTGGTTCTTTGCTTAAAAAGGAAGTCCGGGTGGCCGGCCCGATACTTCTCTTAGAATGAGGTGAACTGTAGAGAACTGAACTAAGATGGCGTGTGACTGGTTTTATTAATCTGGATGTTTTGATTTATGGATGAATCAAAGTTGGCAGATTTATAAACACCACAGAGACTTTGCCACGTTTTCTGGAAGGAAGGTTCTGATTGGATGAGAAAGAGCAATGTGTCATGTGTTTACATTACGTGTGATCAGGATGTCTAGTGCAGCTAGACTGAAGTCATATTACTTATTAAAACATATTAATCATAACATTATTTCACAGATTGGTCAACATTATATTATTGACTAACACTTTGTTTGATTAGCTTTATTAAAAATAGAGTTCTTTGATTTATTAAAAGGAAAGAGTCCTTTGTCTTCATTCTTCTCTTGGGCTGGAAAGGAAAAGTTTTAGAAGCAAATGCATGACCTTGAGTCAGTCTCATGCAGATTAGTTCTGCGTCAGAGACATCTGAGGAGAGAGGGTAAATAACCTTCGGTGGAATAGCTCCTCCATCACGTTACAGCAGGAACATCGTTTAGGTGAGACTCCGCTTGTCAGGAAGTTTTCTGCCACAGTCAGGAATCAGCAGCAGCTTTGTGAATCATTCCAGGATTTAAAGATCAGTTTGGATTATTAAACCGATTCCTGCAAAAATCTTGATTAGCTTTAAGCAACCTAACAAATGTTATTACCGTAATTTCCGGACTATAGAGCGCACCTCAATATAAGCCGCACCAACAAAAAAAGGTTTTCTACACACACACGCCGCACTCAAATACAAGCCGCGGCGCAGCAGCCACATGCAGGTCTCCGGCGCACAGCGCATGTACGGCCATAACATAAGATAATTAGACAGAAAGATGCTACACGGAGGATTTTTGTTGTTGTTTTAATTCAACAAAACGAATTTTAAACACGGGTGAACGTACCTGCAAGTTTAGAAAAGAGAACAGCACTGATAGCATTCATATTTCTGGATGGTTATAACATAAAAACAGCACTGACACGTTATTACCGGTAATTTGCATGTTTAGAAGAAAAGAACAGCGCTGACACAGCATTAATAAGCCCTGGATGATTAGAAAATAAAAACTGCACTCAAAACATGCCTGGTTAGTAAATAAAACACACTTGCCTGCCAGAAAAAGTCATTCGCTCTCATCTCCCTCTTGCGCACTAAAGCCATTAACTCATTCACTGCCAATGACGACTAAAGTCGTCATTTGCATTTTTTTACTGTTTGAGCATTGGAACGAGCCCCCGCGCTGAGAGAACAAACATCTCAGCCCTGAAGCCGATCTTCATCCGCATACGTCACAGATCACATGATCAGGAAGCAGACCATCCATGTGTTTGGAGATTGTTTTGGGCCGTTCCTTTAAAAAAAGTGAGGCGCAAACCGGAGAAGCATCTACCGATCACAATTCGACAACGGATTATGAAAGAACGGATAACGCTCGAAACACACGGCTTCTTCCTGATGTAAGAGGTGAGTCTCCGCTTTGTTTAGGTTGTTTTGGCATCGACATCATGCTAGCGCGCAACGTTCTGTGACTCTTAAAAATACAGTAAAAACGGTGAGAAACGCTGGCAGTGAATGAGTTAAAGTCCTCTTCTTCAGTGTCGGAGCTGAACAGCCTCAGAAGAGCTTCGTCACATACCTTTTCTGTGGCGATGTCAGCGTCGCTGTCCGTGTTGCTGTCATCATCCCGGGTGAAGCTAGCTTGAATGAGTTCTTCCCGCTGCCGTCTCCAGCGCCGAACCATGGATTCATTCATGCCAAGCTTACGTGCGGCAGCACTGTTTCCCTCCTTTACTGCCAGATCGATGGCCTTCAACTTAAATGCTGCAACATATGAACTCATACGTGTAGTTACCGTGATGAGGGGGTATGGATTAGAAAAAAATTCTTCGTCGTGCCGGCTGCTTGCATGTGCTAAATCAAAATGAGCACTTTCTTCCATTTCCACTTTTGACTTCCACCTGTTTCACTTTCTGCTAAAGCGCCCCCTGCAGGTGAAGGAAAATCTTCAGTAAAGCTGCACCTCATTATAAGCTGCATGGTTCAAAGCGTGGGAAAAAGTAGCGGCTTATAGTCCGGAAAATACGGTAAATAAGCATGTTGCTGTGTAAACATTAAATCCGAACTCCAATCCTACAACCAGCCTCTGTTCAGAGAAATAAAGTTTGCATCCTTCGGATTTAGCTAACAGCTTACTGAGCAAAGATCTCTTGATGTTGTTATGCGTCTCCATCGTTTCACTCTTCACTGGCTGCTATTTACATGGAGCAGTTCCCATGACATCACAGATTACATCATCAAATCAAATGTAACATAACAGACAGCAGTGCAGCAGGAAAAACGCTGTTTTTGAGTTTAGAATATGAAAGTGTTGTTCTCAGGAACACATTCGTATTTTTTCCTTTACAATAAATTCTTTGTTCAAACAGGTGTTTAATGTAAATAAAATGTCAGGAAGAACTGCTGAATCAGCTGTTAAAACGGCTAAAAATGAACTAAAGTTAAAATTATGGGATTTGTTACTTATCGGATATTTAATCAGTCTGTTTCCACGTCTCAGACAGGAAGTCACGTGGTGTAGCTGCGTAAACACCGATGAACAAAATCACATCTGGTAATCTGATTCAAGTCCTTTAGGCCTAGTCCACACGTAGCCGGGTTTTTTTTAAAAACGAATATCCGCTCCTCCAAAAACTTGCATCCACACCACCTCGTTTAAAAAAAAACTCTGTCCACACGTACCCGGACATGCCAGACCTGTAGGCGGCAGTACTTCCCCCATTCTTAACCTCGTCCTTCGTATGTGGTCTTCTGCAAGGAGCAGCAA